GCAGTCCTGTCTCACCTGCAGAAAACGCCCTGCTGGAGGACGATAACACTTTCCACCTGGTGAGACAGCCAGATGAAATTGACGAGGTGAAGTCGAAGCGAGGCAGCATGAAGGACAAAGCGATGACCAAAGCAATCACAGAGATCTACCTGACCAGGCTTCTGTCTGTTAAGGTACAGCTGTGCAGTTTCACTGCAGATGTTTCCGTCATGTCTGTGAGTTTCTGCTGCTGAAACCCGCAGACATGACGAAGTTCTCATATTTCTTAATTTGTGGGTTTTTTCTGCTTGTATTTGTTATTAGCAGATGCAATTCTGTTGATTGCACTGTCAGGACACTCTTATTTTAATTTTTAGATGTTTTTAATCTGAAGGGTCCTTTTTTCTATTTTAAATAGATACATTTAAAACATTGTGTGTCTTTGTGTTACAGGGCACTTTGCAGCAGTTTGTGGATAATTTCTTCCGCAGCGTGCTGTGCTCGAGTTCCGTCGTCCCTCCGGCCGTCAAATACTTCTTCGATTTCTTGGACGAGCAGGCGCAGAGACACGACAATGTAGACGAGGAGACGCTGCACATCTGGAAGACCAACAGGTACAAAGACTCACCAAAAACACCAAGTATGCTATCCAGGTAACCTAAAACTCATCTGTGAAACAGCTCTGTGCAAAAGGGAACTCGACTCAACTGGTTGCCAGCTGATTGTATTCTGGTGTTATTCCTATATAAGGTTGCCGAGCAGTGTTATTGCATCGGTATTTGCGTTTATTGCCATTTTGATGCTTTGAAGACGATAACTTAGAGGTCGCAGACCTGGTTCCCGACTTCAATGCACAGAGGGACCATCATTAGGTCTTGCTGCAGTCTCCGACCTCTGTTTTCCCTCATTTGACGGTAACATAAGAAAGGTTAACATTTAGAGAGGTGTTTGTTTGTTTGTCAACTTGGCCCACTTGATCAGATTTTGAGTCTGACACCGCTGTTTTGGGTCTAGGATGATATCATGTACTGTGAGATTTAAATGCTGGCAACAAGAAACGTCTGAATGAGTGATCTGTGGGCCTGAAATTGTTCTAACGGCTTCATGTGGATCATGCTGTCAGTAAAGGCCTCAGAAGATGAGCTGATTCAGCTCATCTTCAAAGCTGCTGAGAATCCCGGCGTGAGATACAACCTGCAAAGAAAACCAGCTAAGAGAAATAATTATGTTGCTTCACTGCTCTGTGTGTCTGTGTGTGAGATACTTCATCAGCCAAAGGAGGGAGTAATTATGTCCTCGTCACTTCTAAACTGGGCCGTGGACCACATAAAAGCCTGATTTAATTGACAGGCTGTTATCAGGGCAGATAAACGATGACGAAGCAGAGACAACGGAGAAGGATAGAGAAACTGAGAGAGATGGGGAGATTGCTTTTTTTTTTTCCCTTCCTCTTTTTTTTTAAGTCCAAACTTCTCTGTTTTCAAACTGGCCTTGAGCTAAGCCTGTCAATCATCAGAGGCACACATACACACACATCTGAACAAGTTGGTAAATGAAATATTTATCAGTTCTGGTGAATTATTGATGGGGGTTATGGTCTGGGGAGGCAGTGAGGGTGGGGGGATGAAAGGAGAGGAGGAGTAAAGGGAAATGGAGCGTCGGCTACATCCTGAAGTCTGAAACTGAGCATCTACTACAGTAAGCATTAGGGATGGGTACCGGTAATGGCACCGGTTCTGACATAAACGGTAGTAACCAGACCGAAAAGCAGCGCACATTTCGGTGCTTTATTTCGGTGCTTTTTTTCCTGAGATGTCATACACTTTGAATTCTAGCCAATCATTTTACATTTGCAAGCGTAGTAGTACGTTCGTTCTTTTAGAGCAGAGCTACAGATTAAAAATGCCCAAAGTGAAGTCAAAGTCTGGCTGTACTTCACAGCAAAAGATGCAAACTCAGCAGCCTGCAACAAGTGCTTTAAGCTGATACTGTGCAAACGAGGTAACACCTCGAATCTGATGAAACACCTGGCGACGTATGGCATTTTGTTAAAAGCCGAGAAATGCACCATATTTGATAGCTTACTGCGAGACCTCACACCGGGCACATCTACTGCGGGTGTGGTGCCTGTTATCGGACCCGGAGTTAGCAACATCCCCCAAAAACACGAAGAGTAGAGTCCTGGCCCCTAGCCCTGCCAGTGTAGCAGAAATGATGACGGATGATGATGCAGCAGCAGCAGCCGTTCTTCTCTGCGTGAGTAGCTTAATGCTGTTCATGTGTAGTTTACGTTGAGTAGGCTAACCACGTTATTACATTAATGCATGTAAGGTTAACTAGCAAACACTGTCGTAGCTACATGCGGCTGTCTTCTTGTTTGATGGCAGATACTCCCTTCACCCTGGCCAAAAAGGCTAAAATGACCAAAGAAAAAGAGGGAAACAACTAAACATGAGAGGTTTTTGGACAAAGTGTGTGTTCTTCATTCTTTAAGCACCGGTTCGAGCACCGTTTAAGCACCGGCACCATTTCAAAAGTACTGGCTTGGTACTGGTATCAGATAAAATCTAAATGATACCCATCCCTAGTAAGCATTGCTTCACCTGCCAAGCTTTCGGATCCATCGCTTCACATTTTCAGCTCGTACTCTGGCAAATTTTATTTTTTGGTTTATCACAAAAACAGAATTCTTGTTTTTTGGCCAACTATTGCTGAATGGACTTACAAAGTGATCCGGAAAGAGCTGCAAAGAACCATGACCCAACAAAAATGAGATGCAAGTTGGTCTCGAAAAGAAGAAAAATATTCACAAAAAGATGCAAAATGACTAAAATTAAACACAAAAGTTTGAAGATAAACACAGAGAGAAACTAACGTATTAAATGAAACATGAATTGGTTCCAGAGATCCAAAACCAATGTAAAGTAAAATTACCTTCATGAAATCCAAAATAACCAAAGTAAAACACATACTAACCACAAACACATCCAGAAGGACTCAAGAAAACAGAGGACCAAAGGACCACAAAGAGACACAAAAATACCCAAATAAGACTTGTATCATCTACGAACAGGTCAAAACCAACTTAAAGACAAATAAACTGACCACACAATTCTTAAAAAGAGACACAAAATGGCAATAGACATCCAAAACTAAAGACGAACAAAATTACAGTACTGACATCCAAAACAACCGAAATGAAACATGATTGCCACGAACAGGTCAACAACAAATAAGAAAAATATTCCAGAGTCGTGACTTTAAGCAGCAGATGTCTTTGTGTGTCCTCAGCCTGCCTATGCGGTTCTGGGTGAACATCCTGAGAAACCCTCACTTCATCTTCGACGTCCACGTTACAGAGGTGGTGGATGCTTCGCTGCACGTCATCGCACAGACCTTCATGGACGCCTGCACCAAGACGGAGCACAAGCTGAGCAGAGTGAGCATCAGTCCGTTCAAAGAGCGCCATGTTTGTAACCCTGTGAATGCCTCTGAGAGAGAAGCGATCTGGGCCATTTTTCAATTACAACCACAACTACCCGCTGCAATTTCTCTGATTTCAGCAATTTCCTGCTATTTTAAACCAAATATGCGATCCATTTATTTATCAGCTCAGTAAATTTCTGTTTTGGACACAAGAGAAGAACCTCAGAGCCCCAGAGAGTCAGATGATGTCCACTTTTTGCCGTCATTTAAAATGTGTTAAAGTAGATATTTGGTTATGCTCGGTGGATTTCTGTGATTGCTGAAGCAACCAGAGATTCTTTCAGGCAATTTATGGTTGTCAAATCAACAACAGAGAGGACGCTGAAGTGAAAGTCAGCTCTCTGTCGCCCTCCTGTGGACGTTTTTCTTGTAATCGCAGTAAAGACTGTTTAGACTTTTAAAGCCACTTTCCTTTTTAACTAGCTTTCTTCTGATTGGCTGCCCCTCGTTAACATAAGATTTGAACTGCGGGTGGGCGGGACTTCTGTGTTTACAGCCAGAGGTGGCATTTTAAGTGCAGTGTAGTTTTTGGTTGGTATTTACAAAAACCTGCTTTCTGTGCACACTGACATTGTGACAGGAACGTTTTGAGAGGTAGAGGGAAATCTTCTGTTATTTGAGTGTTTTTCTTGAACTGAAAGCTACATTTTCACACTTTTTGATGACGAGGAGGCAGATTTACCACCTTTTTTTTGTCGTGTTCATACAAACATGCTCATCTATTTTCTCTCTCTGGCTGCAGGAGTCTCCCAGCAACAAGCTACTCTATGCAAAAGAGATTTCCACGTACAAGAAGATGGTCGACGAGTGAGTTTAAACTTCTAAATATCCTCAGAGAGGAAACGTGTGTGTATATGAAATGTTGTTTTGGCTGAACAGCAGAGTGAAATTTAAAAAATGGCAGCGTGTTTGAATGTAAAAATGTGAGCTCTCAAATGTCTTTTCATGCATCACTAACCATTTCTTTTGTACTGATGGCTCTTGTCGGTGTGGTTTGACAGATGTTTGCTTCAGTCCTTTTGGATTTTCTAATATTTGGTGAAATCACGGCTGCTGAGCTTGGAGGCTGTTTGAAAAACCCCGTAAAACATCCTGAAGGTGATGTTTTACGGGGTTCAATTACCCTCAATGGTTAATCAGGACAGCCGTCTGATGATCCACTGCGTGATTCTTTCTGAATGAACTCACAGAAACCACCTGATAGTTTGTTTTGACTGTGTCTCTTTCCACAGTTACTACAGGGGCATCAGGCAGATGGTTCCAGTCAGTGACCAGGACATGAACACGCACCTCGCTGAGGTGTCCAGGGTATGAACCAACCTCTGTTTGTGCTTTGTTGCATGTTTCATCCCTCTGCAGTGCATGTGCAAGTAAGTTACTACTTATAGTAACTAACAGGTGAAGATTATACAAGATTATACAGTATACCTTGACAGTCCTGGGTTGAATCTTCTATTTGCCTTCGATCTGCATTAATTCGTCGTGGCACAGATTCGACAAGGTGCTGCAAACTGTCCTCAGAGATACTCGTCTACATTGACACAATGGCATCGCACAGCCGCTGCAGATTTGTCGGCTGCTTCAGCTTCCTGTTCTTTACCAAGAGGAGCGGCACCACCCGGTGTAGTCTTCTGCTGCTGTAGCCCATCTGCTTTAAGGATTAACATGTTAAGAGATGCTTTTCTGCACACTGTGGTTGTAACGAGTGGTTGTTTGAGTCACTGTTGTCTTCCTATCAGCTGGAAGGCTTCTGGTGATTCTCCTCTGACCTCAACGGGCAGAGAACTGCCGCTTCCTGGACATTTTCTCTTTTTCTGACTATTTTTCTGTGAACTCTAGAGATGATTGTGTGACAAAGTCCTATCAGATCATTAATTTCTGAAATATTCAGACTCTTCTGGCTATGTTCAAAGTCACTTCAATCACCGCACCTTCTGATAATCAGCTTGAACTTCAGCAGGTCATCTTGACCACATCCACATGCCTACAGGCTCTGAGATACTCCCATGTGATTGGCTGATTTAGAGACTTGCCTTAATGAGCAGTTGAACAGGTGTACCTAATGAAGTGGCTTTCGGTGTAGCGCATCAGTATGGAATATAAAATGCAGCAAGTCAATTTTAACTATTTGCTAAACTACACAAAAGAACACGGGTTGAATCCTGAGCAGCTCCATCCAGTTAAGACTTAGATATTTGGATCCATTTATTTTTATTTTAATTAACCTCTGAGTATCAAAAGTGTGCAAAGCTTCAAAAATGTTTCTTAAGACTTGAAAGTAGATGCAGCACCTGTCTGAACTGTGCTCATACTCTCTCCTTTGTAGCAACACACAGACAAGCTGAACACCCAGGTGGCCTTAAATCAACTGTACCAGTTTGCCAGCAAGTACTACGATGTGGTGAGAGCTGCTGTCTTCAATTTATCTACCTTTGTGCTGTTGTGTGTGCTGAATCCATGAGCTACAAGGGGGAAGAGAACTGTTATCATTGTTATTTAAGCTTAAAATAAGTTGTACAGAAATCCAGATTATTATTTCACTGGACTGATATCGACTATTTTCATAACAAACTTTTCCAGTGTTGGTAAAACTTCAGTGAGTGATCAAGATGCATTAAGTTTAATAAGCCTAAAAAGCAACAGATTTTTCTCTCATATTTGCCAAATATTGTTTTTTCTGTTCGATTTCTGTTCGAAGAGAGTACCACAGAGTGCTTTCAATTTTAAGTTTAGGCGTAAACCAGTAAATCTAATATATCTGCCTCTAATATAGCGTTGCAATTTTTTTTTATTTTATGCTGGGATAAAACAGCCACTAGATGGCGGCACAAGAAAGATTTTCTGTCTGGTTATAGTTACTCAGAGGATTTTTTTGTATTAACTATAAAACCTTTTATACATATTGACGTAAATATGCTTCAGTTTTAATTTTTCTTTCTTTCAGATAATCCAGTCGCTGGACGAGGACCCAGCAGCCCAGAACAAACAGCTCACCCTTCGCCTTCAACAGGTCGCTGCCGCCCTAGAGAATAAGGTCACCGACCTTTGACGCCAGACCTCGAGGAGGGTTCGGGGGGAGGAGCTTATGGATGCTAAAATACAGGATTTTGTTTTCAACACAAGGACTCAAAGGATGGCGAGCTCACGGACTCCACTGAATGTTTAATCATGTAATGACTGAAGTATTTGGCAGGGGTGAGGGGATTGGTCGGTGGATCCAAAGGAAGGACTAAAGGGGGAGGAGTTATGGGACGTCTGGAGGGGTGAGGAAAGTGTTAACGTACACCCGGAGTGGTGGAAACTAAAGTGTTGATATCTACTACACCTACATGGCGTACTTCTGCTTGGCATCTCAAAAAAGATTGCGAGGAGAGATGTGAAATGGCGCGATGTGATTACAGATGAAAGTTGTGTGAAATCAGAGTTATTTTTTTAATTGTACCTGGGATGTACGTTGGTGTACTCCTCGGACCTTGTTGTTTCTGTATTTGGCTTCAATGTGCCACAAATTTTAATTTCATCATGTAAGGACTGAAGGAAAAACGTGCCGCACAAGAAATGAAGGCTTCAGATTTTGGGATTTTTTTGAAGAATGAGCATGAAAATGAGCCATTCCCAAATATGTCCTTTTTGGTACTCTGCTCTTTTTTGGAAGTGCAGCTGCTTTGGGCACCTTTTCTGACCACTTTCTGAAGTCTGGAAACTGTGGATGTGGGGTGAATTTCATCCTAAAGTATACAAGATTAAGTTTGAATAAAATGGGAAAACCTCTACGGTAGAGCTGGGCGATAGAACGATAACGATATGTATCGCGATATAACTTTTTCTCGATAGAAAAATTAAACTATCGCGATAGACCTCGCCGCTCTTGTCCTCTTAAAAAAAAAAAAAGAACAGCCAATCCAAATTAAGTAGCGCAGAGCCGAACCAATCACAGCCGCAGCGTCACGTCACGTGACTTGTTACGTACAGCACAAGTGCCAATATTTAAATAAAAACAAGCTGCTGATTATTTCACATTTTACTTGTGAGCAACGGCACATTTAAATCTTACAAATATAGTTATTTGGCTTATATCGTGATAGATATCGTTATCGCCTGAAATGAAAAAAAAACATATCGTGATATGAAAAAATCTTATATCGTCCAACTCTACTCTACGGTACACACCACTGACCAATCAGGGGTCTCAATGGAGGAACAAAGGACAGTGAATTCGGGGTACGAGGAGTTATATAAACCCAGAAAGCAGCAGGTTTTTTTCCCTTGTATCGTGGCCAAATGTAGTTTTTTCTCTACAGTTAGCAGCAGTATGTGTTTCTATGCTGATGATACTGTGCTTGTGACTCACAGCTGAATAATTTCATTTAGTTTGTTTAGGTTTGTTTGTTTGTGTGCAGGCTTTAGGCAGAGGCTTTGCATATCCAACATGAAATGTTTCTTTTTAATGGACTGACATGGTACCATTTAGTTTTATTCTTTTGCAAACTGTCTGTGAGGGTGTGTGTAAAAGTGGGGTTTTTTTATTTGTTTTTGTTTATTTGTTTTTAGCTAAGCGGCTTTTTTATTTACTGCAACAACAAAAAAAAAAAATCAAAAAGAATCACAACAGCCTAATCATGTGAACAGCCAAAATTGTTATGTTTGTGCGTGATTTTTGCTTTTATAATCTGTACAGTTTCGCTTCTTTTGCCGTACCCCTTGCAAAAATAACTGCTTTTGTTTTCCATTTTTCTGTTCAAGTCCACATGCAAGAGAAGGTCTGCTTACTTTCATGTTTTCTGAAGACAGGGTATCACAGGATCTTTGAAAAAAGCTTCAAATTTAAGGTGGTAAAGTGTTAAAATGAAATAAATCTGCTTGTTATGGCCTCTATTTTTTGGATTATGCATTAATATTGTTATCAGAGTTAAAGGATGAGTAAAGGATAATGCATGGAGTCAGTTAAATGAGACCTGGAAGCACATGGATTGTGCCTCTGAACAGTCTTTCACCTTCACCCTTATCGTATGGAAGATTTAAAAAGCATACAAACCCAAGAAACACTTTTAAAAAAAAAACGTTTAATAAATGTAAGCACTATCAGTTATCTCTTAAACATATAAACTAAAGTTGAAAACTTCAGGTTCACAAACCTCTGCCTGATATGTTTTGCTTTAAATGTTTTATCAGTGCAGTGCAATTCGTAAATATGAAAGTTGGATCAACTGTACCGTTTTTTTCAATGTCTTGGGACAAAAAATAGGAAACGTTTAAAATAATCATTAAAGATGAAGCTGGAAAAAATCCATAATATGTAATTTAAGATCAGAAAAGTGATATGCAACAATCTAAATCAAGGTCAAGTTTATTTATATAGCACAATTCCAACAGTTCATGCTCCATGAAGTGCTTTACAAACTAAAATGCAACTAAAATAAGTAAAACGCACAACAATGATGGAATAACATATAAAAGAGAATAACACAATGCAAACGATGCACGACACATGAAAGGTGTTGACACACATCTCAACACCTTTCAGCATACTTTATTACTGGTTGCTGTATCTTTTCAGCCGCCAGTCGAACACACACCAACAACGACAGGCCGTTCATCTGTTTTAAACCGGTGAGGCGTGATTGTCGATGCCGCTCATGTGCATCTGCCTCCCCCCGCGGCTGCGCTGCAGACCACGCCCCACCACACACAGTAAGACAGTAAAAACAACTAAAAGAACAACTAAGGCTGGTAAAACAAAAAATGTCAACATGTGCTACAAGCCAGTCTATAAAAATGTCAAAACCGTCACAGCAAACAATAACTACACCTTGGACTTAAGAGTTTGGAAAAAAGGCGACTGGACTTCTTGAAGTCGAGGTCATGGTATTCTGAAATAATACTACCATGGGAGTTGGACTAATATATAAAAGAGGACTGAGAACCTACACAGATACACTACACTTTGTTCAGAATAAAGATAAATATGAAATTCCTGTCAAATAATGATGTATAAAAAAATTAATCAAAATGAACAACTTTTTCAGTTTTACATGGACCTGATAACCTTCATGACCCTACAGGACACTCTCACGAGTGCTGTCGACAACTTTTTCAAAGTCTACAAACACATAGACCTGTTGGGCAAACTCCTACATCCTGCATGTCAAGTAATTTTAGACATGCATGTAAAAGTGCGTGAAGTTGGCCTGAACAAACTAAGAAATGTCCTGTTGGAAAATCACATGACCTGATTTGCATCTTCTCATTGGTGGTGCTGTGGACATGTGGGCTTTTCCTGCCAAAGTGGGGTGTCGATTTTTACCAACACAGTGTGTTCAGTGTGGGTTTGAAAGGACAACTACACAATAGTAGCTTCCTAGCATTCTGGTGCTTAGAGGCTTTTGCATCTAAAGTCTTGAAAAATAATTAGCAATAACAAAAACATTTAATTTAATGCTAAAATAAACATGTGATCAGATATTAAAATCTGTGCCAGCTCAAACATGGATCCATCCACTATGGTGACCGCTTGGGCAATGATGGAGCAGCCCGAAGCACCTTCAGTCAAAAACTAAACACTTAGGAGTGTTTTTTGTTTAAGCATTTTAAATCTTCCATATTCTCTGACATTCATGTTCTACTTTGAGTCTGCAAAGTTGTACAATCCCAGTATTGCAGAAATATACATGCTAACAACTCCCTAAAAGATTCAGTATTTTCAAAAATAGTTTGCAGGGCAGTGAGGAAACGTGTCAGCTGTGAAATAAGAGGAACAAAAACGGCATATTCCCATTCACTGTTTGTTCATATGTTTGCGTAAATCAAAAAAGTGCTGTTACACCACAGAAGTTTAAATGAACTCTTATTTTTTCTTTTGCTGCACATTATTCATTGCCAACACAAAATCATGATACATCTGCAATATTCTTTTCTTCCTGAACCCAGACGATGATCTTGAGATGAGAGCTCGACTTATTATCAAAGATTTAATGTGCAGTTTGTAAGTTGTGTGGTCATTTTTGAGGAGATGTTTATTTCTTGTGTTTCAAGCCTCGCAAACTGCAACTTTAATCTGTGGAGCAATACAACCAGTGCAGTGTCTCTGGTACTTGATGGAAACACTGCAAAGCTCTGATAAGAATCTGGCACCAGATGACCACCAGATATAAATGCATCTTAGCTTGTTTTCACTTTGATTTCTTTGAACCACTTTGGTACCAAAAACCCTCAAAGTGCTGTGTGTGGAATTTTCTTGGACTGTTATTGCAGTTTTGTGTAAAATGGGGAACTTCTAATCTTTTAAAGGGTTTTTTTCAGTTCAGATGTTAAGAAATGGAACACACGAAGCAAAATTTGACCGGCTTTTAAAAGCCACTTTAGCTAGAAATGTTTGAGCTCTGTTTCCCATTGTGTTACTGAGGTCAGAGCTCAGTCTGATTTTACAAATACATTTCAGTCACTACAGTGAAAGAAGGTAATTTCTGCCTCCTGCCCATTCTGGGACCTTACAGCAGCTTAAAAAACTAGCATATGAAAGGCAAGCCAACTGGATGCGCAGCAGAGCTGGCTTGGCTTTGTGGCTTTTCTGAACTAACCCTGTGCTCAATTTACATTTATATGATAAGACCTCATTATAATCGGGATTCACTGTCTCCTATCTTTCACCAACTCTTGCTTGTTTCTGCCTTCTTTTTGCCACCAGCGAGTGCCTTAAAGATTGGAAGAGAAAGTAAAAGCCAAAAAGAAAAGGTGTCTAGAAGGATGTTCATCTTTATAGCGGGTTTAATAACTGCAAGATCACAGTGGGGGGAACAAAAGTAGAGCTTTTGTTCCCCCCACTGTGATCTTGCAGTTTGCACACAACACAAATTTAATGCTACGGTCACTCTAGAGTGGTCAGAGACCGCAGTGCCACCAAAATTATTTAAACTGTGTGCAATGAACTTGCAATCTCGTTGCATTTGAAATGGCCGCTTGGAGGAGTGTCTCTGACAGCAAAATAATAAATAAAAAATATATTCAATCATCGGCCAACCACCACTTTTTTTCCTAGTTGCAAGGTTGCTGTTCAATTTTCTGTCCTCCAGTGTGACTGAGCCACAAATCATCAAACTATGGCAACCATATTGCTCTTCATCTCCCAAAGGCCTGGCAATTTTTAAAAGGAAAAGCAGAAGAAAAAAATATACTGTTGAATTTTTCTTTATCAACACATTTTTAAACTTTCCTCTGCCACAAATGTGCAGGGGCAAAGGTTGGTTCACCCAACATTTCGTTTCATGTATGAAGACTACATATGTTAACATATATTCATTCAACCTGAGTTAATTGTCACCCACAGTAAACTGCAGTTCTTCTGGTCTGTGCAGAAGTTTGATGTGAATGTGTGATGTTTGTGGTTTAATGAAGTGGCTTTCAGGGTAAAGGTGCAGAAAATGTTGGAATGCACAGGGATGTGAAGTCAGTTTATTCGTCTGTTATTTGAGGTTTAGTGTTTTGTGTTTTAAATGATGTACAACTAAAGTGTATTTGAAAAATTTACGTTTTACGAAGAACACGTGAACAGTTTTGAGAGTTTCTAGTTGTTAAAGAAAACCGCCCACTGGTACTGATGCTTTTACCAACAGCCTTTTCTTTGTACATCAGCGCTGCCATTGTTTGTCCTTGTACCATTGTTGTTGGAAACAGTTGGTTTGGAAGAACTGGACCAAGTTTAAAAGCATTAAAATGGACAGTAACAGCACTACCAGTAACCACAACTTGTCTGGACTGGACTGAAGCCCAAATCGGTGACTCTTCTTAGGAAGTGGAGAAGTGGGCAGAAAAATCCAGATCTAGGAAGTCCAAATATCCAATAAAAGATTTATACATAAGGAAAGTTGTTGTTGTGTTTC